TTTCTTTGATCTCATATCCACCGAGGCCAACTTTTGCGAGCGGCTGGCAGGAGGCACTGTGGTTGTGGTCATAGCTGTCGCCGGTTTTGCAGACGTATAACTGGGCAAAAACTCACGGACCACCTCGCGAACTTTGTCTCGCTTTTCCTGCTCACGTAAAGTGGATTCTTGTGGACTCCATTCCATTGCACGTATTTCAAGCTACAAAGTCCCAATCAAAAGAAAAATGAAGTTCAATCATCAAATCGAGTGAAGTGAACCTGCCGAGTGAACGTCCATTTGTTTCCTCCTAAAAATTCCTTTAAGTCCTTTACAAAATCCTTTAAACTAATAACATCAAGCTGAATATTTGAACGATAATTTTTCTTAATACAACTCCGAGAGTTCGATTTATTTTAACAGGATAGGTATATTTGCCAAACTTTTGAACACGGAGCCCGGGTACGCATTCGGTAACACTCCGAAATAGTAAACCGCATAGTGGCAACATAGTGGACAACAGATGTAGTGGAAGAGAACCGAAGTATTTAAACGTATGTAAAACGATGAACATAAGACAACTTATTGAGAATATATACGCGAAACACAACAGCTGAACTTAAAAGGTCTACCAAACGAGGAGAAAAATCTGCGATTCACCCAACGGAAGCATCCAATAATGCTTTGAAATAATAATATTTTCCATCTGTTGTTACATTCTTTCGTTATATCATCAGTTTAATGAAATAAAAAACGCGGCTGAAGGTTACAATGAAGTACAAGACAAAACCCCTCAGGATGGTGTGACGAAAACTTACTTGCATGTTAACTCTGGTCAATTGGATTTATCTCAGATTATAATTTATCTCTAGAAGTTTTGTATGTTTACTGGGTATAAAATGCACACTGTAAAAACTATATTTGTTTTGAATTACAAATATTAGTGGCACTAATAGTAACAATAATTCAGTTCAGGAAATCGGTGTATTCATACACAACAAGAAAGCTGCTTACTGTCGATATAGTGGATTATACAACTAGTGTAAAAGAATACTTAGAATTGGTCCAGAAAAGCAGGAGCTTATCTTTCAGATGGCACAGGTAAAAAACTTGATAGTGGTGCAGGAAAATTGGACGATATCCGGTAATTCTCAGGGTCTTGATCAATTGTATTTCACATAAAACCCTTTGAATGCATCCATCGATTATGCTAATTATCGATTTCTAAGTTTCGGTAACAATTGATTATATAAATACACATGGAATACTTTCAGAATGACAGTATGCATTCCCATTCGTTTTTTCTACACACACATTGTGACGATCAGTAAAAGAGGTGAATTTTACAGTCACAAAAATGCAACTTTCGGCAGAGGATACTATCAGTGTAAGCACCGGGACGTAAAATGACAAGCCACACACGATGCACCGGTACGATCAGTAGCGAACATGCCAACTAATTAAGCTATGACTAAGTTTCCAAACGAAGAACCGTAGACGAACACGCTGGAACCACAAAATGAACAAATCTGACAGTTTCTCCTATGAGGTGCGCAGTAAATATTTAATGACAGCCTGTGACATTTTGATGCAGACAAGATGGCTACAGTCGTCTTGTGCAAACATATATGTTGGTCTACCGAAAAACGTTCATAATCATTTTGATGCCCTCATGAATAGCATGCTATCGTTCTATCAGCACGGGGCCATTCATGTTTGCACATTATGGTGCCTTTGAGGCTCGACTAATATTTTGTCCAAATTAATCGGTCACACTGTGGATCCCCGTAAATGTTTTGGTATTCTTATTCAAATGTTGCATCTGCTTCTTTTTGTAGTTATCATCTAATATTTGGGATGATCATTCACGTACTTAATTATATACGGCTCCCTCCAATGATTACACACACACTAGAAGGACACCACCCTAGTCTTGATCCAGCGTTATCAACGTTTGTCCAGAGAAAAGACTACCTTTGAATGACGATAATTATGAATTGTAATGCACCGCAAAGCGTACTATAGGAACATCCCGATCAAAACTTGGTCGCTCAAATGATATGAACTGCTGAAGTGATCATTTTAATGCTATTTATCTTCTGAATATCGCATGAATGAAGTTGGAATGTAAAAAGATTTATAATTATTCCACTTTATATAAGCCATAGGGCATACCAGAAATTTTGCGAGATAGCACCCGATTTTCTGATTCTCAATCTCGTTACTATAGTCGAGGCACGACAGATTCAGTGCAAGAAAACCGCTGATTTGTTAACCTACCATTAGCATGCGAACCATTGAAAAACTTGTGAACTTACTGTGGTCAATCTTTTCAACGCATTAAAGCGTTCATTCGCTGAAACAAGAGTTTGTTGGAATGCGTAATGAGCACCAAGTAGCATCAGAGTTTCTGAAATGGACTCGCCCAACTGTCTGCGCGCAGACTCTAGTTGTAGTTCCTTTCCTGCTAACCACACTTCCGCTGAATTGGCGTCTCGGGCAAACTGGCGCACCTCGAGCAATAAATGCAATCGGTCCCAGCGTTCGCGCCATAGTTCTTTGACGAGCAAATGTCCAGTGGCCAACTGCACGCAGCGCTCCCGTACCTCCGCCCGGGGTCCGGCCAATGGATCGCGAGCAGGTACCGTCTCCGTGCTCAGCACGGGATGTTCAGCCAGAATAGCTCGACCCAAGTCCAGACAAGATTCTACGCTGCTTGCGCGAGCCTCTATTTCACTGTGCAGACTGGTATGTTCTTTGATCAGGAATTCCACGCCCAGAACGTCTCTGGAAAACGAATAGAATCATGGAAAACGTATGTGATTGTATTCCGGTGCGTGAGAACATTATTGAACTTCGAACAACAGAAGACAGTATTCACTAGTATGTACGTAGTGTCAGAGCCCCCAAGGAGACGTGACATTGTTGGTTTAAAGGAGATTTACAGTGTCCAATCAGAACATAAGCAACCTTCCCCTGAGCATGTGTCGCGATTTGACAACTGCCATCTAAACACGAATATAAAAGGATCGTTAAATGTTAAGCTACGACGTCCAACAATCAATGAGTGAAATCACTTTTACGCAAGCCGCACTATCACAGTAAGTGACGTAACACGTGGAATTTCGACTAGTGTCTTCACCAGTTTTAGTAAAGGTGAAAGGCTTCGGACTAAAGTAAGATCTTGGAGTGGATTATGTGATAGAAATCTTTATCACAATTCTGTAGAAAATTCAGGCGAATGGCAACCGTACCAAATCTAATCGCGGTGCAGTGTTGTATTGTAAATTACGGGGACGTATGAATTTCAGATGATCTCGAGCATGATAAAAAATCGACAGAGGTCTAATAAAAACATCAGGACTGAAATCGTAACGTTAGAAGTGATCAGTATTATCCCATAATGTATTCTTGTTAAATTTAGAAGATAACAATTGCTGAGGTCGGGAGTTTATTGGATTCGTTACACAATCACGACAAACGTTTTCGCCACCCCAGTCGAACAGATTGCCAGTCATCAAGCGTTTAGGGTCAATATCTAATTCCCAAGAAGTTTGCCCGTTCAAGAGAAACAGTCAAGATTAGACAATGCGGCAGTCACACATGGGGAATTTGCCATCAATCACTGAGGAATTAAAGAGCATGAACAAAGAGGATTTCTGGAAAGGGACACATCTAACAGTCAATCACATTTTCAGGTTACACAACCGAAAGACAAGAATCACGGATTAAGATCGGAAAGCTTATGTTCCTTAGAGAATTCGAAAAGTACCATGATATAATGAGTGAGTTTTTCGACTCCATATATTCTGATATGTTGGAGAAGATATTCAGTTTCAAAGAAATATGAAAACGGTTGTGATATTCACCCTGAGTGTATGTGCGCATTCGATCGGATGTGATTAAAGCAAGTTCTCAGTAAGGATGTGTCTGGAAACAGTATTATCGAATAGGCACCTTCGAATAATGTCTATCATCCATTAGCGGTTCCACAGGGAATGAAATCAACCACAGATGTAAGCTTATGGTTAATAAACGATTCTACAAAAAAAACGCGTTTGTTCATAAGGGAAAGAGAAGGAATGAGAGAAAAAGCGGGGCCTTCGAATTCGGCGGCGCCATTTATCTCGAAAATCATATATACACTTTTGTGGATTTATTTGTCATTAAATCGTATCGCCATCAATTTCGAGGACACCAAATGCTATCCTATACGAGCACGTTCATGAAATCTTTGTGTTATCGCGCGAACTACGCCTTTTGTGAAATATTCCAACAATGTGAGAAATAAGTTTAGTGGGATGATCAAA